TGTTTCCGATATAAACCAAAGGATTGCACTCTATTTGTTCGTATTAGTTCTGGCCAATTTCGCTCGCCATTTCCCCCATTTTTTTCAATACGCGTTCGAGATCATTTAACATTTTTATGTGTAATCTTGCTCGGTGGCTATAAGACAAGATTTTTGCGCGCCTCTCACTTTATTTTATCGACTACGTTTTACGGCAAGCTTTAAACAGATTAAATCTAACAGAGTGGGGTGTTTTCTGGATCCATTTCCCATTTTCTGGCCTGTATTTTGATTTTATAAAGAAAATTTACGTTCCACTTGAAACCTGGATATCGTAAACATTTTATTATATTTGGCACATACTTCTGTAAATACTGCTTTTATAAAAATAATAAGACAAGTTGCAAGCGGTTTACCAAGTAAACTCAGAAGGTAGACTATGACCAAAGAGTAATATTATTTTTAAGCATCGTTTCATTGTTTGTTACAGTAAGCATTCATCACCACGATAGCTGATATGAACTATTTTTATATAACTGGAATTTCAAACAAGCTGACGGCCCACCTTATGGAAAGTGATAACCGTCGCGTTGCCTACAAACATGAACAGCGCTAAAAATATTACAGAATACACAGTTACGGCTGTAATAGCCTTTATACATTAACATTCCTGAGGATTAGGGTGTCATGCCACTGTATTTACAGTATTATGATTCAGTAGCAATATACCGCATCTTCATCCGCGTCAAGTTTTAAACAATTATATATAAAGTATCCTATATACTAAGTTTTTTTTTTTATTTTACTTTAAATGGGAAATATACAATACCTAAGACATATAAAATAGTATACACAACCATAACATAAATCAGTAAAGTTTCCACAATAAACCAAACCAAATAATCGAGAGCAGATGATCATTGATATTATATATGATATTGATTTTTCGCATTTTTCGCACCTATATGCATAATTAGATTTAAATTAAGCATACGCATACGTGCCGAGGCCTATAAAACAGACTTCATAGCTTGTTTCTGCTACGCACAGGATTAGTTGGATGGTCGGTTTGTGTAATGAATCGTATTAAACAAGAGTTTTATAACGCGAACGTCTATCGTCCTTTTTAAATTATGCAACATTTGTATGGAAATACGAACGTCACCCCCGGCCTTACTGCGCCTCCTTAAAAATACATTGCGTGTATTTGTTGTCTTGGTTTGACGCTCGCTCGCGATTTGATTGCTTTTTCATGTAGATCATATCGCATTTATATTACGCACTTACATTTTTTTTTCTCTATAAATTTTAATGGTGCAGGGTGCAGTGTTCTCTTCACTTGTTTTCAAATGCAGTTATTTCGACCATATATGCGTTATTCTACAAGTTGTAGTCTATGGTGCAAATGTCAGTAGACATTTTAACAGATTCTATTAAAAATATATTTGTATGAACTGTATTGAGTAAAATTTTCTAAGAACAAAAATCTTTATTCGTACCCTAAGAACAAGAAACATTTTTAAAAATGAACTCAATTTGACAATTAAAATTGATTAGGTACTTCCACATTATTAAATGTATTATTTAATCTCTATGTTCTTTTTCAAGTACATATTCCTGTCCTGTCACCCGCATCATTTTAATAACGTGCACAATACATGTAGAATTGTGTAGGAAATTAAAAATATTTAACTAAATTTTAGTCAAAAGAAACATTGTTTTTTTTTTTAAATAACAATAAACTGTATTCATACATTTCTTAAAGGCCAAAAATCGAACTAACTAGAAATGTAATTAATAAACAATGTTTTTATGTTGTCGTACGAATCGATAGAAGGTCGATATTATTTAAGAATTCACTATCAGATAAACATTATATTAAAAAAAAAAAAACTACGAAATGTTACATTCTCAAAACTATATTAATGTCAATAACTATTATTGAGAAATATAATACAAATTATTTAAAATATGTATAATTAAATAAATTGTATTTAACGTATTACCATTTTTATCTATTTTTATTTGGTAGGTAGCTTCTAGGTAATATTAGATGAGCGTGTTTGCTGTTCAGAGCAGTCAACAAAGGGGAAATCGACTGACATATTGATGTTGCAATACACCAAACGCACGACACGACATGGCATACAAACACCATGTGTATGTAAGATTTGTACCTATTGGATTATCCAACTGCCGAAGAAAAAAGGGTAATGTTCCTTCAAGTTTCGTCACTAGCGCTGTTGTATGGCTGATCGCTTAAGATATTCATATATGCTGGCGAATATTGATGATATTTAAGGATAAAGTCAGGTCATTTGGTCACTTGTGACAAACTCGCTAGAAATTTACCGTGATGAAAGAATATATTGCTAGTGATGAAGCCACTAGGCCCCAATTCCTAACAACTCTCTCCCTCCAATTATAATGCTTTGTTCCAATAGTCACCTCTTACGACATCTTGAAAATGAAAAAAGTTAATTAAATACTGTATTCTTACTCTGTCACTAAAAGGAGATAAAAGTATATACATTTAATTGAATTCGTAAAATGCATGAACGAAATGAATTAACTTAATTCATTTTCAATCTTTTTAAAAAAAGGCAAACTTAGAAGACAAGTTTTTTTCTTCATATCCAACATAAATGCATTGCGACCTGTACTAATACCGCAAATACTACAATCATCATCATCATCTTATCAGCCTTTAACTGTCCACTGCTGAACACAAGCCTTCCTCTCGGGGGGTTTGCCAGTAATTGCACGCTTGACAGGCGAATTGGCAACCGCATTTAGGCTTTGGAGATGTTTTAAGAGAGACGCTGCTGCCTATCCCTCGCCCTCTCTTAGTCGCCTCTTACGACAGCCACGGGAGAGGAAGGGATGGCCTATTCTATGCCGAGACCACACGGCAAAATCACAAATAATACAATACTATTTAGTATTTAAGTACCTAAAGTTCAAAAACTTTTCTATTATCACATATACATAATGAAGTTAATTTAACAACATACCGGAACCAGTATATTTTTAATGGGTAAAAAGGACACGGTAACCCCACCTGCGCTATCGGTATACACTAGCGGGGTACCAGTAAGAGGTAACAGGTTAGGTTAGGATGAAAAAGTAGGTCAGTTAGCCCACCGTGACGAATTCAACGATAAATTAGTCACGATAGTTTCCAGGGGGAACCGCGTGGAAGTCGACCTGATATATATGTGGATAGCAATGGGGACTAACCTCGCCATTATTAACAATCCTCTTCCCCCGTAACCAGTATTTTCTACATCTATTATTACATAACAATATATTAAGTACGTATATGCATATTTAAAATTGAATAGTGGGCACCAACAGACGAGGTCAAAGCACGCGCCGCACGCCACCTTGTTTATATCATATTTTCCATCCGGGAGGTTTATTTTATTATTTCGATACGTAACGTAACCTCTCTTGCTAGCAGTGAGAACAATTTCAAACCATTCCTCAACCTGAAAATTACAAATTGCATCCTTGCTACGATGCAATAAGTCACATTTTTGTTTGCTTCAACGCTGATTTTAGGTGAGACCGTCATTCATGCTGGGCTAACCTTATATTCTTCGAAGAATGGTTGGTAAATTTTCAATACTCACTTTATTAGGGGTGAGAACGGAAGGAGGGTGAGTGAAACGGCCTTTATTAGATTTTCTAGAAACGTGAGTACCTACCTACAGCGAATTGCATAGTCTGCGTCGGACAACTCGATATTGAAAATCAGTTGAAATTGAGCAATTGTGCATAAATATATATAGGTAAATTATGACATTTTATTTGTTGTTTTAGTCTAAAGGAACAAATAAAGCATAGACAAGTACTTAAAGAGTGAAATCTAAATTGTTTTCAAGAAAGTGTTAATAATAAAAGTAATAATTTTCCCCAAAAGGGACATAGAAGAATGACAAAAAAATTTGAACCCCTAATACTAGATTTGATATGTAAACATGCAAAGTTAGTAGAACAGAATAACAAATAGGGCCCATTATATGGGAAGTGGTAACGTTCGTCTGTAGGAGAGAAAGGGTTTGTTAGTAATACGAGTAAGATTTAAAAGCCCCATTGCTAGCAATACACCCGATCAGGTCGACCTCAACGCGGCTCTCCCTGGATACCACAGTGGTTAATTTTTGTTCAACTAGTCACTACAGGCCAACTGACCTGCCTTTTCATCCTCACCTGTCACCCTTGACTGGTATCTCGCCAACGTATACCGATAGCACAGACGGGGTTACCATTCCATTTTCACCCAAATTTTCAAAAACTTTCGTCTATAAATAACAAAATATATTGTAACGTACATGACGCCCCTCATGCATTGTCATTCCTGAAGATTATAGTTTATACTGTTCAAGTATGGAAGGAAGTTATAGCCCACACTTGAATTTCTTAGGTATGTATTATTACTCGATATATCCGTCCGCTTCTACCGTAGGATTAGAGAGCACCTTTAATTAAGATTTGGCCAGAATTAACTATACCGAGGTTCTAGATCACTACGTCATTTATAGTGGTAAAAATAAGCATAAGGCCCGTCTGACGGTAAACGGTTAGCATAGTCTGTGGAATTCAGTCACACCAGAGATGTTACAATCACGTTACCAACCCTTAAAAAATCTTATTATAATATGCTTATATTCAGCAATAACTAATCTACGATTATGGTTTTCTTTAGTTGAACGAAAAAAAAATAAGTGCCATCTATTGAAATATAATAATACTATTTGTCGATCACGAAGGCGAACATTAAGTACAACTAGTATATAAATATTCCTATAGATGTCACTGTTTTATAAACAACATCATGTATGCTGTCATAAATCTTGAAAATTAAATAAACTTCATTAATAAAGATTTTATTTTTACTGCCATATTTATCCATGTTATTAAAAATTACATAAATTTAAATATCATACTTAAAAGGAAGATTAATCTACACCATTTTTCAATGGCAACATTGACTATAGGTTTTTTTTTTTTTTTCTTTTTGAATAAGCTTTAGAGTTAGGTTAGAATTGTTTTGTTGTGATGTGTCAAAATTATAATTTGAATGCAACCTACGCCCTATGTATTTAATAAATTTATAAAACAATATGTTTTAGATAAAATTCCAAAGCAATAATTGGTTCTAAAATGTCCGTCGTAATAGAAACTACGCTTGGAGATATTACAGTAGATTTATACATAGAGCAAAGACCTGTGACATGTCTCAACTTTTTGAAGCTTTGCAAGATGAAATTCTACAATTACAATCTATTTCACACCATACGAAGTGGATTTATTGCTCAAACTGGAGATCCAACTGGCGAAGGATCGGGAGGACAGTCTATCTTTGGGTTACTGGAAGGTCCTGAAAAACGATTTTTTTCCGGTGAGAAAATGCCCAAGATCCGTCACACAAATGCTGGTTTGCTGTCCATGGTATGCACAGGAGATATGATGGTAGGTTCACAATTCTTTTTTACTTTAGCTCCAGATTTAGACTCATTAAATCCTGTACACTGTGTTATTGGAGAAGTGACTGAGGGCCATGATGTCTTAAGGAAACTCAATGAAGTAATTTGTGATGAGACATATCGACCATATCAGGATGTAAGAATCACACATACTGTTGTACTTGAGGACCCATTCAACGATCCAAAGGGTTTTAGAGCACCATCAAGATCTCCGTCTCCGAGTGCTGAGCGATTAAAAGGAGGTAGGATAGCTCCCGATGAAGAAATAGACGAAACACAAGGCAAAACTGCTGAAGAAATACAAGAACTAATAGAAGAAAAAGAAGCAAAAGCAAGAGCGACAATCTTGGAAATAGTTGGTGACTTACCTGATGCTGATATTGCTCCACCTGAAAATGTGCTTTTTGTATGTAAACTTAATCCAGTCACAACTGATGAAGATTTAGAAATAATTTTCAGTAGATTTGGTAAAATTGTGAGTTGTGAAGTAATAAGGGACAAAAAGACTGGGGACTCTTTGCAATATGCATTTATCGAATTTGCTGACAAAAAATATTGTGAAGAAGCTTATTTCAAAATGGACAATGTATTAATTGATGACAGACGTATCCATGTAGATTTCTCACAGTCTGTTTCTAAAATGAGATGGTTAGGAAAAGGAAGAGGTGTGAGATATTTTAATGATGAGGAAGCTAAACATAATCATAACAAGGAACAATCAAATAGACCAGAAGGCAAAGATAGAAGAGAAAATAAAGATAGACAATGGGGTGACAGAAATAAGAGATATGACAATGAGAAATGGAATAATCATGACACTGATAAACACAATGAAAAAAGACATCACTTGCACAAGACTAGAGATATGGAAAATCATAAAAGAAAAAGCAGAAGTAGAAGTAGATCTAGGTTAGAAAAATCAAGAAGTGATAAACGTGACAACAGTTCTCGAAATCAAAACTATTCTAAAAGCACAAATAATGAAGACTCCCACAAATATACTGATAATAAAGAAAGAGAAAATAGAAGTTCACATAGATCTAAAACACTAACTTCTACTAAATCACAACATTTGGAACACAATGACAAATATGATAGAAGAAAAAATTATGAGTACTCTAATAATAATGAAAAGGATATAAAAGAGTCACAAAGTAAATTAAAGCGTAAGCAATTTGAAGATACAGATTCACTACAAAATCATAAAAGAGTGAAGAAACATAAAAATATAGAACCACATACCCCATCTCCTGTCTCCAAGAAAAACAAATTAAACAGAAGGGAGAAAGATACGGATATAAAGAAAAAGAAGAAAAATGTAAAAAAGAAAAGAAAACCATCAACTTCATCTTCTGATAGTGAATCTTCAGACTCGAGCTCTTCTAGTAGTGATTCTAGTTCTTCTAGTGAAGATAGAAATAGAAAAAGAATTAAAAGAAGAAAAAAAAAATATTCATCATCCAGTAGTAGTGAGTCTAGTTCATCTTCATCTAGCACATCTAGCTCAGATTCAAGCAGTGAATCTACAAGTTCTAGCTCAAATAGTGAACCGAGTAAAAGAAAAAGAAATAAGAAACCCTCCAAAAGACACATTACAAAGAAATCTAAAAAGAAATCTTAATTTTTAGTATTTGACATAGTTTTCAAAGTGGTTTTCAAAATCATTTTTAAAAGTGGTTTGTGACTTTTGTTTTAATTATTGCTGTATTTATTCATTTTTATTTATTCAACATAGCAACTGAAAATTTAATGACTGTTACCAATCATACATTAGACAATTTAAATATAAATATTATTCTGTGTTGCCATTAGTTGATTTGCATGTAAATATGTACTTAGGTACATAATTAATATTCATATTATAAAATTGTATATTCACATACTTCACTATATTGTTTATTACTTATTTTCTACTATTACAACAGCTGGATGTTATATATTATTTAAATTTATGTCTGTGAATATTGAATATTTGTATATGTATGTATGAAAACTGTATGATAGAAATGTTATATTGGAATGTCATGTAATATGCTATATAATTAGTAATGATATTGTTAATATATATATATATATATATATTATTGGATGATAATGTAATTGTAATCCTGCCTGCGATAATGGTTTATACTAGTGGGGCATCACTGAAGTATGATAGGTGTGAATGAAAAGGCAATTCAGTTAGAGCATTGTGATGAATACATGATAATCAACCTCCACGCGGTTCCTCCTGGAAACCATAGTGGTTAATTCTTGTTCAATTGGTCACTATAATCCAACTGACCTGCCTTCATTCTCACCTGTTACCCTGCACTGGTACCCCACCAGCATATACCAATAACGCAGGCAGGGTTACCATTCCATCTTCACCCATTAAAAAAACAATCCTTTCCCCTCACTAATATATATTTCCCTATAATTAATAGCCTTAACTAGGATATGATAAAAAATTAATATAGAGTACAATCCAAATCCGTTGAGCTAGACTGAATTAAAAAAGTATTCTCAGTCCCAGAGCAATAATTATATCTGTGCCTAAATCTTGTTTACATAAAATAATATGCTTCAAGACTATAAGTATGTGAAGATAATAAAATGTATTCAATGTAATTGTTAACAAAAGGTCTACTACATAATCTAATTGGCCTATATTTTTTTTATATAATGTGATATCTTTGCCAATTTTAATCCCATTTGAATAATACTTTTTTTCAATCAATAAATATTGCTCTCATATTAATTTTATAATTAGAGGAACTGCAGCATATTTGGAATACTAGTTTTATTTTTGAGAATAAATTGAAAGAGGAACAGGATCGGTAGGTAAAAAATACATTTAATTATTGTCAAAGTATTAAACTTTAATAATGAGAACAATCAAATATAACAATCAAAAAATATAACAAAAAGTTAAAAGAGTCAAGATTTATAAAAAAAGAGGTGCCCATATGGAAGACAGGCGTGACAGATATGTATGTATGTATGTATGTATGCAACTAGAAAACTCCAAAAACTATATTTGACTTAGAGTGCAGGTAATTTGGAATATAGTATTCCAAAATACATTCACATTTTTTCTTTGTTTATTGCTTACACTTTTTCTTAGAAACTAATAGATTTCTTATCTTTGTAACAGTTTTATTAATCTTTAGTTCTCTAGATAATCAATCTTTTTCAATAATCAGTCACAATAAACACTGATCAGTGTTTAGTTTGAATTTATAGTTTACTATTCTTAGTTACTCTTGCAGTAATCACAAATATACACACCAGATTCATAACCATCACAAGCACCATGAACCCACAATTCGCACATTCAGTACTGTACCCATTCTTCACTCCTGTTATCCTCGCTATGTTTTCCGTTACAGAAATACACTCAACGTCTTCGTCAGTAGGGACTGCAATCTCATCTCTCTTGCTTCATCGTCGGAAGAGTCTGTGTTATTTCCAAATATAGCCCTAGGATTCGGATCTGATGAATCACTCTCTGTTATATTTCTTTTCCTTGTCTATTTTGCTATCTTTTTCTTGCTCTTTTCCTTAATATTTTCTCATTGTTTTGTTTTCTTTATCACACTTTTTAAATTGTGCATTCTCAAGATCTTTTTTTATATTAATAATATTTATAGAAGAACTTGAAATTACTGCCGATCTTGCTGGCTTACCGCCTCTAATGCTAGTATTCTTTTTTATCACTACTTATAAAATATGCATAAAATTTGGAATATTCCAAATTATGTTCACTCTCGGTATTCCAAATTAACAACACACCAACCTTACCTAAAAATCCATGTCACATTTTTTATTCTAGAAATATTCACCAAACCATTGTAACATCTTAAACTAACAAGGTCAACTAGCTGTTTAAATAATTACAATAAAAATTTAAAGTATTACAGTAAAGATTACAACGGATTGCATTCTTACCGAAAAAGTTTTCAAAACAAGTGTCTCGTTTCTTTGGAGCTGGTAGCTGGAATGTCCAAATGGTGTCCTGATTTTAACTATCTATGACTTCGTATATCGAATGGCGTTATGTTTACTTAAAAAAAACACAGATAGCGTTTATATTGATTCAGATATGGAACTATTCCAAATTACCTGCAGTATTCCAAATATTCTGCACTTCCTCTATTAATTGCTTTTGCTTTTTTCACCTATAGATACATTGTTTTTCTGTACTTAAATGAATAAATTAGAATGAAAAAGGTGGGTTTATAATATTTATTTATTATAAAATTAGACTAATTATAAAATTAATTTTTAGCCTCTAGTTTAATCACAATTTTTATAAGATAAATACTATAGGTATATAGTAGAACTATATATACTATCATTTTAAATATTAGTAGATAATTAATTAGTAGTAATTAATTTTTAACATAAGATATACTAGATACTTGAACTTCTCTGTTAATTTGATGTATACTATTTTTTTATGATTATAAGTTTTTTCCTACCTAAAATATTATGTTTCATTTGCTCTCAATTCCACACCTGTTATAGTTTAACCAAAGTGAGAAAAGTTATTTGCTGATGTACCTCTCTCTCGTTTTTCTGGCGTGATGTACTTGTGCTTGCATGGTTGTGTTTCAATTTGAAGGGTAGAATACAGCAGTGAATTTAAAGGATACGAACATAACAACTCAATTGTCGACAATGGCAACGCATACTGGTATTATGGGCGACACAGTGTATTTTTAACCAACTTCAAAAAGAAGGGTTTCTCAGTTCGGTTGTATTTTTTACACATATGTTTGTTACCTCATAACTCTGTCAGTTCTGAACCTATTTAGAAAATTCTTTTTTTATCTGAAAGAATATAATTACAGATTACAGAAATTTTATCGAAATAATTTTAGTACTTTAGTTTGTAGATCAAAATAACTGCTTTTGTCAGAATTGAAGTCGATTTTTTGTGGGGCATAATCTTTGATTATGTAAAATTGATAACTATATTTAAAGGTGACGTTAGCACTTCATCAGATGAGCCATCAGTCTGTTTGCTATTCTACATTATGTAAAAAAATATAAACGAACTCTAGTTTCATGGCGAGACGCAATTTTTTTTATGGGTGATAATAGAATGGTCACTTGCGCTATCGGTATACACTGGTGAGACACCAGTAACAGATGATAAATGAAACAGGGTAATTGGTCCATAGTCACATATTTATAAAGAATTAATCAAGATATGTATAGTACTTTTTAGAACCGCACCTCTCGGGGGGAAAAGGGATTATTAGTATGGGGCTCTAAGAGCCCCATTACTATCAATACAAGATCAGGTCGATCTCCACGTGGTTCTCTCTGGAAAACATCTTGGTTAATTCCCGTGAAATTTGTAGTCTAACTAACCTAACACCATCCTCACCTATCATCGCTCGCTGGTTCCCGCCATCGTATACCAATAGTGCAGGTGGGGTTAACATTCCATTATTATCCATAAAAAACGACCACTGGCATACGAGAAGAAAGAGACTATTGCTAATGGGGTCTAACAACTCTATTGCTTACAATATACCCTTCATGCGGTTCCCTCTGGGAACCATCATGGTTAACTTTTGTGATTTTTTTACTACGGGCCAACTGATCTGCTTTCCTCCTCGCCTATCATTTGTCACTGGTGCTTCGCCAATACATACTGATAGCGCAGGTGGATTCTTTTTTAATGGATGAAATGAAATGCGACTGGTATACACTGGCGGGGCACCAGTGAAGGATGAATGGTGAGGATAAAAAGGCAGGTCAGTTAGCCCACCGTAACGAATTCAACGATAAATTAATCACGACAGTTTCTAGGGGGAACCGCGTGCAGTTCGACCTGATATGGTATACTGATGGCAATGGGTACTAACATCCCCATTATTAATTATCGCTTCGTCCTGCGCAGGTGAGTTTACCTTCCATTTTACTCATAGAAAAGGCCGCTGACTTTTCTCGCATGTATGTAAATAAAATTGTATCATCTATGGAACTTAAAAACATATGTTTTTCTTTCCTCTCATGCTGCAAATATCTATGTTCGACAATAGACACTTCTCGTCAGTTGGACTGCAGGATCGGCTTAGGGGTGATCATAATTGGCAGCTTAAAGAAGCCTCACATCAGTAAAAGGTCGTATCAGCTTCAACGTTAGTGTTTTGACTGAACAAGGAGACTGCCATCATAAACAGAAAGAGGAAGTGCCGTGGAAATAATTTCTGGGGGCGCCAGGTAGACTAAATTGGGCATTGATGGACTGTCAGATCATTTGCCTCCCTAGCATTATTAATTAATAAATAAGTAGGAACTTTATTATACAGCTATGGTGGCAAACAAGCATACAGTCCTGTAACACCATGCGCGCGTTACCGACCCTTAGAAAACCTTAATACACCCTTTTTTTATAACCCCATGCTGTAGTCTTTATACATATTGATATTAAGAGCCATACGTTCACTATTTCGACAGAGTACATGGTGTGACGGGAAATCATAAAACATGTCAAATTTCCAATGTGGTGGGTATATATGTGTACCTATAACGTGTTTACAGGACGTGATATGCCGCCTCGGAATACCTACTAAATGGACCAGTTAGCTTTTGTACGGTTAAAGTGACTGAACGAGAAAATGGCCCTCGTTTATAACGCTATTGTGTATGTACTCCATCGTGGGCACATCTCAGACGATATGCATTATATTTTATTCCGCATTACACTTATCTTTCATCGATCGGCTTATTAGTATGTTAATGTTAAACAACTTTAGTCACCCAGCTTGTCTCACCTGGTTGCGAGTTCGATCTTCGCACAAACATTTGCACCTTTTCGTGTTGATGTCTGTTTGTATTAGTTTGGGCGTTTTCTATATATATTAAGTGTTTTGTAAACAAGTAGATTTTGATTTGTTTTACAAAGTAAATCGTCATCTTCTTATAAAAGAAAATTGAAATGGATTCAATTGATAATTTGTGAATGTCGTGACGAACTTACTTATCAAAAACATACAGAAAAAAATAGATAATTACTGCAAATGAAAAATATGTAGAGCTCAAATGTGTTATAGTATGCCGAATGATCTTGGATGTAGATGGTACAAACTATTATTTTACCTACTATGAATGAATCAATCAACTATGGACAATAACAAAAAGTGATGGTGGTAAAAGCACTAGCGGCTGCGTAGGTATCTAAGTACCCATAATAAGGAGAATGAGATCATTACGTGAATTAAAGGCACAGACTTGAAAACAACTTTCATTCGTCCGTAGAAAGAAATATAAAGCTGTAGCCTGTTTAATGTAACGTAATTAATAAGTACCGACGCCTCTACTCCGCCGTCTGGACTCATTTTCCTTGCAATAATATTCTTGTATGAAGGGCTTGTTTAGCTTAGCAGGGTTAGACGTCACAGCGACAGGGTCGAACTAAGATAAGAGAAGACCATGTGTAGAAACAACTAGAACTTATTATAAAAGGTAGCTACACAAAAATAAATATAAAGCCAGCCAGTTCTGGCTATTATTTTATTATGGATAAATGAATTACCTATAAATTCATGGTTCCAGAAACAACAAGGACATTATTTATTAGCCTCCCATTTTTTTAATAGATGAAAATAAAATGGTACACGCGCCTATGCTAATGTTATATAAGATGGATCAGTAACGATGAAATCTGATCAGTTGGCTCTTCAAGCGCGTAGAATTAGTAAAGGATTAACTTTTTTTACAATACGTCATCTGAATAGTGTTTGTTGCTCGAAGAAATCGCCAGGCAATCCAAACTAAAGGCAACGAGATGGGCCGGGTTTCCTTTAATATGGTTGAACACGATAGCTAACTCATCCGTCATACTCGCGAACGGGTGCTTCTTACAAGGACTAGTCTGTTCAAGAATACTAGTACTTTAATTGTGGTTTTTATCTACATGAAATTTGTGATAGTCATTTTATCAAACGACAAAGTAAACATAACTTTCTTCTTGTTTTGTTCTTCTTAGTTGAAATTGCATTCTGAACTGGACGACAAATTCATAAAAAATTAATATGAAAAATTATTCAAACCTAATTCTCTGCATTTGACAGATATTATAACTGGCAAATAGAACTATCTAGCTATTACAAATAAAGATGTGTAATATCCGATATCTATATATTGAGTTCTTCAGGATATTGATGACGACCCATTGCGATATCGCCCATATATGTTAACATTACGAGTGGATTCTTCTTTCGAACATTATATATTGGATAACCGATGGTTAATATATCTGTTATTGAGCCGATATACGTAGAGACATTGTAACTACAGTATATAGATGTTGCTATATATTACCTACCCTTAATTACAAGTAATTCAATTCCGTCTTACTTCTAAGAGTATTAGTAGGAACGTGATCTGGAAATAAGGAAAATTCATCTCAAGTTAACATGGATAGGAAACACTGTGTTTCGGTCTGAATAACCAAAATGGATAAGAAAATCATTTCTTTACATATTTTTTTTTCTTTCAATTCGTTTATTATATCACTGGCATATAAATATGAGTAGTCAGTTCGTCCCTGTGCTATTCATTGCGCTCATTGCGCATGTCGCGAATTTATCGACAGGAGCAGTAGGTTTCCTCTCCAGCTTGGGCTCTGGTAGACAACACTCGCTCTCTGCTTGCGGATAATCCACACTCATTTTACGCACTTTTATTATTGCTCTTTTATAAAGGATTCACAATATTCACATTTACAATCTGTGACTATGTTACTAATCGCCCTTACCGCGTTGTCCGCGGTGCTACTTGTGTGTGATGGGGTGCCAACGCCTACGAACGCCAAAGGTAATTTTTTTAATATAATTATTTAAGTAGTCGTGCAATTTCCGTCGCTTATTATGTGATTGCTTTGTAAATGCTATAGAGTTGTGATTGTTTTGACTAGTATATTGATCAGTCGGAGGGGGCCTGGCCACAATCTATATTTAGCAACAGGTGGTCTGCGCGCCGGATTGTTGCTGCGTAGATTCCACCTTTTACCGGGTATTCATTGTGACCTTTCACTTACAATGACCTAAAAATAGAGGTTCCATCGATTGTTTCTATTCATTAATTAGTATCTTAAAAGCCGTTTTTTGTTTCTCATTATATTTTCAAACTGAATTCTGAAATAGGAAGTAAAAAAGTGGATCTAGATAAAGAATGAAAATATAATTTAGATAAGAAGATATTTCCACTGTTAAGGAACTTATTTCACAATCTTTTGCAATTTTTTTTTATTATTGAAAGAATAGCAAGCTAGGTTTCATCTAATTGTAGTTATCCCTATGTTCCATGAAAATTAACAACATCTAAGGAATTTTCAATATATTGCCAGCCTTTTAGAAAGGAATAGATAAGCTTTCTTTTTAAAAACTTCATGTGGAATTTGTTTCGAAAAATCTCTACATTTCAATGGTGTTCTAACTTCAAATTAGGTACCAATAATGCACTCTGTAAGTTCATTGCATATCTGATTTGTATTAAATTACTCAAAATGTTAGTAACTTGAATAGACGAATAATTCAATGATCCAAATATATATATTCCATACACCCAAAAAAGATAACCCTACCCTCCTCTCTTCAAAAGACGGTTAAAATATATTATTATTGTAATTACAGAAATTAAATATATAGTAAATATTCTTTAGATCGACTCTCAATTTACAAGACCTTTTCATTGCATTCCCAGTACATTGCGTATGTTTTGAAATTTCTGAGTTGTAGAAAAATATGTAGGTATCACTCAACGACATCATCATCATCATCATCATAGCTTACCACGAATCTCTCCTAATAAGAAAGATTTAATATTCCCTCTCTAGCACCGAAATTATATGTATTGTAATTTGTATGTTGCACATAAAGTTTGCTGAAAAACGTCCCGTAGATACTTATTATGAAAAACCCCATCGACCGACTCTTAATTTAGTGAAATAAATAATGTATACTAAAAAATACAGACGAAGAAGAAAAAAATCATTTTCAATACATTATCAATAAATTTACGATTCTAATCAACCTCTGAAATATAATACATACATAGACCATGATTATTATTGTGCAAACTTTTCTCTGTTGCTTTTATATTAGGTTAACATGCATATGTTTTGCTCGCTTCGGTATGTGCCTGTTTGTCATTAATATCGTTATACTTTTTACTTATCTGCAATTAAAAACAGCATATTTTTTAAAAGACTATGCTACAACCGATATAAAAATACTATCTACCTTTACGATCATTGTAAAATTAATTATTGCCAAAATATCTATTAGATAAATTAAATTTTAGATGGCGGTCCAATTGGTGAACTACCAGAAAATTGGGACCAAACAAAAGACGACACACAATCGTTATTCCTGAACAAGAGTGACAAAAACGATCTGGAGCCGTATCCACTAGCTCTCAGTGAAGAAGGTATGGCCACACCAAAGCGAGCCTTATCACAGTGACGAACTAAGGGATTGGGTGGATGGGACGATGGATTATAACAGCTTTAAGTACTAAAACCTACATGCCTGCTTTTTAATGAAATTAGAAGCCGTCTCGATTACATTTAATTCCTTAGTTTGCTACTACCTCATCCACATTCATATTAATTTACTACGTAATAAAAAATGGAAAAAATCAAAAATAGAATGACTAAATAATTTTGAAAAAAAATTATATAACCTAATTACTTACAAATTATATAGATGTCGTGACCAGATCAAACGTCAGATCTTAGAATTGATCACTTCATGATATGTCCAACCCTTAGTGCCTTGTTTGCCTTACGGATTGTAACTAATGCGAACTACCAGTCTCATTGCTAGCGATATACCCTGTCAATTGCCACGTGGTCCCTCCTAGAAACCGTCGTGCTAAATTCCAAATATATTCATCGCGATGGGCTAACTAACCTGCTTTTTCATTCTCACCTAACATACCTCGCCAGCATATATCGTTAGCGCAAACGGGGTTACCATTTCATTATCAGCCATTGAAAAACTCTTAGAGCCATTTCATGAAATGGTTTTATTTCATGATATGGAAAATATCCACTACCCATATCATGTGGGCTGGCCAGATCAATGAATAAAGCAACCGTTGACGATATAAAAAACTAATTGCGTGGCTTCATGATATGATCAAACATTAGTGATCATATTTTTATTCATTTATATTTTTCTGTACACAAAGATTACACTTATAATTTATTTTGAATAAAGATGTGCAACAGGCGAATTAAACTCTATAAGAGTTCTGTTCCAGCAAACCAAAAATGTTGTAAAAATGATCCATCGATAGAGGCGCTGATATTAATTTATTTTTATAATGCATCATGGCGGCGAACAATTTTATTATTTTCAATTTTACACAATTTTAATAAACCCTCGTGGGTGCTCATGCTCTTTTGGTGACTAGGCCCATCATCTTTATTTAAACTGAAAAAGGACACTGTTTGCTGAACAAGTAAATGCGACCTATACAGTAAATAATAAGAAGCCCTATATTAAACCAATCATAAATTGAGATATCATCATAATCTAATCATATCATCAAATCTTGACGTTTAAACAATATAGTCAGTTTTAGTTGACCATATTATGAAATAAAATTGTTTTAGAAAATGGTCGTCCACATCATGAAGTGATCAGTTCTAAGATCTGGCCACGACATAGACAATTCATATTAGTCGATTGTGATAAATAGGGATGTGGATATTATTCACTATAGCTGTAGCCGCTTAGATTGCTTGAATTACGACTATGGGCTACATATGGGCCATACATATCTTGAGAATATCTATGGCCCATCTGTATGCCAAATAAATTTCAGTTATAACCCATAACATTACATAAAGTAACACTTGAACAGCTGCTTCCTTCTAAAGGCGACAGCCTTTGGAAGAAGTGGTGGGTAGATAAATCGCTCCCTACCAAATACAACAAATGTGTGTTACACAAGAAACTACAACAGTCGGCAAATACCTCTGATTACCCCAATACAGTTTATATTCGTGAGCATATTTTTTTCATTTATAATTTTAAAAATTAATAAAATGGAATAACCATCTTTTATAATTGTTAGTAGGTATATGTCAAATACTGACTGCATAATTTCTTAATTTAGATTTTAAGTATTTATATCTGTTATAATATCTTAAATAAGATTATCTTTTCAGGTAATGTAGAAGGTTATGAGCAAGGAGTAGAACAACGATTCGACTCGCCACAGTCCACTGGAGAACTAGACAATCTGATCATGAGGCCCGAATTATATGGTGAGCCTCCAGCAATGGAAGGCTTGTCGTCAGGGTACGACTCCCGACGACGCAAACGTGGCAGTGGCACTAAAGTGGGAGGAGCAGGCGCTGCCACCAAAGTTGCCACCAAGTCAGGCTCAGGAAAGAAAAATCTAAAGTAAATACGGTTTTTACATCTTGAATAATTGTGTGTTGAAGTAGTTTGAAAGTAGCAGTAGCGAAATAAAAATTTAAAAATAACTTTAATTTTGTAGACAGGCATCTGATACGCAGAAATCTTTTGTGTATGCATATTTTAAGGCAGGACATTATTTGTCCACTGCTAAACAAAGACCTACACCATAGACTACAGTCTATAGGGAACAGTTTTGAGCTCTCAGTATCCACTAACTTCCTACAATACATTTGAGATCGTCACTCAATCTAGTAGAGAGTCGTCCTATACTACGTTTGCCTGTACGGGATCGTCACTCAACAACCTTTTCTCTCATACTCGTATATCCAGCATACCTAAAAGGCTTTATTATAATAATTATTATGACTATATTGATGACTATATGAGAAAACCATAGAAAAAGACTGAATAAAAGATGATGCAATAAAAAAGGATGTAAATTTCGAGATAACAGCAAAAGAACGATGAAATCACTATCATCATTTCATGATATCTAAAACATGACTTTATCCTTAGGTCCGAGGAACATGACGCTCTCTCTCCTTTAGACTCAGCATCACATGATCAAGATGCTCATCGCCGCAAACGTGGCAGTGGAACTAAAGTAGGCGGAGCGGCGGCTTCCGCAAAAACAGCTACCAAAAACTCCGGCGGAAATAAGAAAAACTTCAGGTTAAATTGTTTACTAAATCTTTTTAGTACGTCTAACTAGCACTTACCTATTTGTGTATCATGTGTATATACAAGAAAAAGTAAAGCGTCTTACATATAAATAAATTTACATTTGGCTTTAATTATTTATTATTAAGTCTTTGATTTGTGTTTAACGGAACTTCATTATAATATACTATACTATATATTACTTATACGCCAGTAATTACATAATGAAATGTAATGACACCCCGTTGATCGGTCCGAAGTAGAGTATAAATTACAAAATAAAAATTATATAAAAACCCTTTATAGGTATACGAAAGAACTAATTGAACACTACTATTATATATGTTCTGAGTGCAATTCACACTTTCCGGATTTTATTTATGAACTTAGTGTAAAATATAATAAAATTATTCTCTTATTCAGGCCCATTTCGGAACGCCGCAAACGTGACTCTGGCCTTAGTGCGGCTGATGTTCGAGCTCTACTAAATTTATGGGAAGCACAAGAACGTAGAAAGCAGGAATGGAATGCCAACCAATGGGCTGCCGATCGCTACTACGGACGTGTGAACACAGTTGAAGATGAACAGCCTGAAGTGGATGAGAATGGTGACATTTGGTATAATGAACCAGTTGTAATTAGCCCACGAGAGCGAGAGTATCCTCATCATTCATACTTTTCAGAACAGAACCGTATGGCTATGACTCACGGCTACCCAGACATGTACCAAGTAGACCCGTCTGAACTTGCACAGCGGTACGAGGAAGCACGTCGCAAAAGGCAATACGCAAATAAAGTGAAACGCTTCATGGTAGCACGGAAGCGTTCTGATAATATGATGCATCAAAACAATTACAGACCCCGGGATGATCTGTATACTCTTGCAGAACTTCTTCGCTCTGCGCCAAGAATCCAAGAACAGGAGATTCCAGTTTACCGGCGACTGATACTTTAAAGCAGTCTTGTGGAGGAAGGTGTCCATTCGAAAGATCCTGTGAGTCGGATTATCAAAAAAGAATGAATACAGGTCCTACGATTAGCATGTCTTAAATCTGGAAAAACAATTCGTCATTCAGGATATGTGTTGCCCGAAGGGCAATATGGCATAATTTGGGGCGGGAGATTGTCGCGCATTTAATTCGCAGTGTGTAGCGGATACCTACCAATTTAGTAATAGACAAGATCGTATTATTAATGCCATTTTATTATATAAATATGTATTATTTTATTTGTTGAATATAAATGGCCTACATTCAATTCCTTTTATTTAAAATTCGAATTTTCTTTTAAGTATAAAATTACGAAAATAATTGTGTAATATTTCTGTTTTACTTAGTATCATTCTATTGTTGCATATCTGTGAAACATTATAGAGTACTAAATTTTTAAATTACCTATAATCAAATTTAATTAGATAGATATATGTCTAGTTTCTTCGAATATTAATAGTCTGATGTGAAGTTAAACTTCACATTTCATTTAATATATTTAGTGTTAGATTTTATGTGTAAATGGTAAACTGCTGTATTAAACTAGTATTATCTTATAAATAGAGTTTTATTTACAATAACACATAATATATATTTATTTTAAATGTATGTCTCAATTTTAGGTAGTTAAGAGGTTATAAAAGTTACATTTTTGTTGTTGGTAAATAAAATTTATAGAAACCACAAATCAGATACATACTCATTATGATAAAAATATATATGCTCACTCCTGTAATCACCGATGTGGTAGTCAGATGTATTAAAATTAAAATACATCTCAATAAGTATTCTATTTATATATAAGTTTTAGTTCTATTGATGTTATAGAATAATATATACCTCAGTGACCTATACTCATAAATTGCCAAAATACTGTTAGGTGAAGGTCGCAAAATAAGCTTTTAAGAGAAATATAAGAAAATAAAAAAATCAGTATAAAAATATAAAAGACGGATTATGATGGCCAGTAACATAAAAAGCGTATTATGATGGCCAGTAATACGCCACAACTTTAATAATCTGGTCGGTGGTAATAAAAAAATAATAATTAATTATGCAAATTCATTCCTGTCAATGTCAGATACCATTAAGAATATGCGGTAACGACTACTATTTAACATAATTTAAGGAAAATTATAAACTTACTATGAATGAAGAATCCCATAATATAGTAAGCGAAAAATACCTTCCCGGAGAAATATTACAAAGAAACGTCACTTCTAGTAACAAGAATTTGGAGATATTAGAAGATGGCCAAATCCACTCGAGGCCAAAGTATGAAACATTTTGTTGGTTTTTCAATTACACTAATATGTTCATATTGCGATTATTCAAAGATTTATTCCAATCCGTCTTGCGTTATTTTTATTCCGATTGCGTTATACCGGACCATATCGTGGAATTAATGAGGGTACAGAAAAACCTTCGTATAGAACATGATCCTGTGTATATCAGGTACAAATCTATAAATTCGTGTCGTATATCTATGATAGAGTGCTCAACCAAAACAATTTCATTAGTTCCAGACAGTGTCACCAGATCCGAAACTCACAGTTTTCAATGAGAAAATTTTTCAAAACTTTTAAGTCATATATTGTTTCTAGTAAAGATGACATCAGCTTGCGATGTGTTCTTAACAAAGACCAATTCAATAATAATCATAGATGATATATACATAACAAAAAGCCAATATTTGTAACTATAGATTATAAGATTTTAATAAACCACAGAAACAACAAAGATTACACGGTGTCCAAAAAACAATTGACCACAAATGTTATATCTAATAGGGCATTAATCAGCACAGGACATAAAAATGCTATTTCTCTTACAGACATGAAAAGGTCAGAATTCAGGAATGAGTTTCAAATGTTTGACGTAAATCTTCAAAATGAAAAAAAATTGCACTAGATGACAATGATAATGATACCGAATCAATAGTTATTTCGTACGAAATAATGATACATTTATAGATCTTAAATTCCTAAAATGAAAACTATTATAGAAGGAGAGCAATTCACACTATTTTCAATTCCTTGTAAAAGTGAAATGCCGTCTGATATGAAATTGAAACATAATGAATAAATGCTTCTATTATATATTACCATTATTGTCACTGAATTTGCACTTCATTTAAAATTCAATTAAAATTCATTGAAATTTATTTATCTTTTTTTTTACTAATTAATAATATTTTTTGTTTATTAATTATTCCTAATTTGTAAAAGTTTTCATTAAATATAATTGTAACGTTCAGCAGTACCTTGTCACACCATTTTACTTTTAAGCGACTTTCAGCCGAAGAATTCCCCTGTTCTGCAAGCAACCAAACATATGGTATTAATTACCATAGCCAATTAATTCTTAAAGCAGGCTTTACGTGTATGTTTTCGAAAGTAGAGGGACCTATTCACCACTGCTATAAAGAACGCCTTATGCATTATCATATATCATAACAACCTTTAACGGTCCACTGCTGAACATAGACTTCCCCCTTTAAGGTAGGGAAGGGGGTTTACCAGTAGTTGCCACGTTTGGTAGACGGATTGGCAGTCACAGTTAGCCTTTGGAATTGTTTTAAGAAAGAAGCTGCTGCTCATCCCTCACCCTCCCATAGGCGGCTCTAACAACACCGCCGGGCAAAGTAAGGGCTGGTCTATATTCTATACCGGAACAACACGACGAGCATTATGCATGCCTCATAAAAAATCTTAGTTTGAAGTTTGTTCCATGACTAACGTTACTGTAATAAAGAAACTATTTAAAATACCTCTAATACACAGTTAAAACAATTTTGTACATGACTTCCTAACTACATAAGTGATTTCAAACAAATTCCCAGAGGAAAGATGATAATGCGATCTAACCAAGCCATGACAAAACAACTAGCTGTTTCTCATGACTTAAATTATCAATATACACATTTATTAAAAATCTCAAGGTAACTTTGGTAGTTAGGTGTTCTTTAGATTTACATTACACTGGACGTTTATCTTAAAAAATTATAAAAATTACGCATACACCCTAATATTTACTATTGACATATGCAGAGTTATCGGAGACTTCCTTGGATGTCAACATCCCCTCATACACTGGATCTCCAAGATCTCTTAATTACGGCTCCAAGTCCTCTCTAAAATCAGATGAAGAACATGAACCAAAACTAAAAAGAGCTGTATCTTTCCTGCTTGAAGATAATAATTTCTTAGTAGCTGCTGAAACTGGTAACGACAAGTTATTAGAAATTATCATAAGGTAATAATATATTTTTTTAGTTTGAAACTTGGTCTATCCATGATTGTCAATAGGGAACCGGCATAATGCCACTGATGATATAGTGACTCATTACTCAATCTATAATTAAAGAAAATTATTGCCTCACTTAATAGTATTTTTTTATTAAAAACATCGTGAACAAGTCTATAGTTATTGTTATTAAAGTTTAAACTTAATAGTTAGCTAACTAACTTATTAAGATAAACTTAATAAAATCTTAGCATCTGCACTCAATTTTTTTTTAATGCGTGAAAATGACATGGTTACCCCGCCTGCGCTATCGATATACACTAGCGGGGTACCAGTTAGCGGTGATAGGTGAGGATGAAAGGCAGGCAGTCAGTTAGCCCACTGTGACAAATTCAATGATAAATTGGTCACGATAGTTTCCAGGGGGAACCGCATGGAGATCGGCCTGATAGGGTATATTGATAGCAATGGGGGTAAACTCCCCATTATTAACAATTCCTTCCCCCCTCTGCACTTAATTGTAGCCTGCGTTTGCTTAGTGGACTGTTCCTCATCTACGAGTAGTTTTAATCCATGTGAATTAATAGAAATTCAGCGTTGATTTAAAAGAAACAAACTCTCTTTACTTTCTTTCAATCTTTATTTGCTTTCTAAACTGTATTTATTTCTAGAAAAGGCACAAATATCCAACAACAAGACTATCTTGGAAGAAACGCCCTTCACTTAGCTGTTTGCGCTGGCAACAAACGGGCTATTATAATCTTGTTAGATGCTGGTGTAAATGCTAATGTGAAAGACAATGTTGGCATGACACCACTTTCGCTGTGTTTAATGAGAAGGTTTGTTTATTACCTATTAGTTTTTACATGCAACATCGTCCGTGTGATCGGGGTATTTTGGTAGACCAGGATAAAAAGTAACCTATATTATTCACCATCTTAAATAGTACGTATATACAAAATATCATGACAATTGGTTGAACCGTATCTTAAATGTTTACATTAAGGAACGCCAAAAGATAAGAAACAAAAATATTTAGATATATTTAAATGGGATTTTTTCTGTAGCCCCCTATATTTTAAAATAATTCATTTTAATAAAATATACTAAAATTCACCCTGTAGATAAAGACATACAAAATGAAATCGAAATCATTAACGTCTTTATAAGAGAGCATTCTAACTTTAAAACTGAATATTTTTCGGAATGAAACAGAGCACCTAATAAAAACGGCTAAACAATTTATTTATTATAATAGCTACTTTAATTCTCAGTAGCTAAAAAAAATGTTTTGTATATACTGAACTGATATAAATAGGAATGTAAATAGGAATTATTTTTCAGGCCATCATTAGATATAGCTAACCTTTTATTTGATCACGGCGCAGTAATAGTACCTCGTTCTAATCCCGTCGATACGGGATTATTCCTTCGTAAGTTATTATTTTTTAATAAAAAATATTTTTTTATAATAAGTACTTACATAAAAATTATGAAATATTCCGTTTGTATTCAGTTTTTTCCGAGGATAATAACATTTTTATTTCAATATTGTAGCACTTTCGCCGTGTGGTCACGGCATAGAATGAATCACCCCTTCCATATCCGTGGGTATGGTAAGAGGCGACTAAGAAAGGCGACGGATGGGCAGCAGCGTCTCTCTTAAAATATCTCCAAAGCCTAACTACGGTTGCCAACCCGCCTGCCAAGTATGGCAACTACTGGCAAAACCCCTCTAGGGTGAGGCTTATGTTCAGCAGTGGATAGAAGTTGACATGATGATGATAATGATTGTAGTACCTACTACTTTGATAACCAAAGACTCTCGCCAAATACTGTCAAATTATTCTATCGACAACAAAAATTGTTAAAAATTCTGGGAGCATCGTACTAAACTTGTCCTAACAATTCATAAGTATAGGTTATGTAGAGGGGAGAGAAGCAGGTGGGCCGAGCCCAACCTAGAATCGTCTAATTCACACCCTAGGATTCAAGTGAAACTTTGTAAAGACATGCGCCTTTTTTAAGAGATCAGGAAAATAATCTTAAATATTCCATTGTATAAACATTACTACATTATTGTTCAACTGATTGTCATTTTCTCTACCCTTGAAAAGAAAATTAACATGCTATTAGGTGCCAAGCTGACGAGATAACTTTTATTTCGAATTTTCCTATTTATAATTTGTATTGACCCTTGGCGTATTATTAAGATAGTATATTTATTGATACTCCTACATAATATCACAGAATAATTAGATAATAATGTTATTTCATAATCTTAAATTTCATATTAGTTAATAAAATTATATTTGTTCAGAATTTGTCATGATGTGTAAACCCACTTATGAAGAAGCAAGAATATTAAAACTTCTCGTTGAAAAAGGTGCTTTAGTGAACGATCCAGCAGCACCTGGAGGTCGACAAGCTCTACATTTCGCGGCTATGAGCAATAATTGTGTACTCATACGTATCTTATTAGATCTCGGAGCCGATATGTACCTCACCAATCATAGACACGAAACACCCAAAGACGTCGCTATAACTTACAAATGTCGGGATACTCTAACGCTTCTGCAAGAATTTGAAGCAAATTAAATAAAACTAATAAAATAAAAATAGTAATTCCCTCATTACAAACTCTAGTGATATAAAAGTTTAAATATTAAGATATTGTTTAGTACTAGTAGTGTTATGTTAGTTGAATTTTAAAAATGTGTAATTCATTTAAACAGAAATATAATCATAATAAACGTTTTTTATTTATCAGGGCTTACTAAGGTGATAAATTTATATCTATATATACTGCGAAATATTTTTCTGTGATTTAATAAAAGAGGAACTTATTAATTATTCAATATTTATTTTATTGTCCATGACACGATTCTGAATCGATATTTTCATTATTTGCAATCAATACCTCAATACCTCGAAAATTATTACCTCGATTATTCGGTAGCTCAATACTGCTCCCATTCGTATAATTTATGGAAATGCTTTATCACTATCATCTCAATTATTTTATGGATATCTTGTATTAACATCATATGTACCTATATCAACTCAATCTACAATTGAATATTGTTTCTTTTTTATTTATTTCAAAAAGCTGTATGGATATTGATTCCTTTGTATGCTTTTTAAGATGACAAATTTTATCAATGGTGGGTGACATTCTGATTCTGACATTTGTTCTACAGTTTCAAAGATGGCGGCCTTGTCGCAGTTGCTTTTCCCTGCCAAACAATACTAAGAAAATTGATTTAACCAACTATTTTTACACATTTTACAAAGAAATTTAGATAGATATTTCAATTTTTTATTTTGCCTGTACTAGTCATTTTGATAATGTGATAATAAGTGTACCCATGGCTTCCAATTCGCAAGACTCGCCTGTTCAACAGAGATTTGTAGAGGAGATTGATTACAGTGAAATACGCGAAATATCGGTAAGTGTTTTATGAACAAAACTCGTTTTGTATGTTTACATTTGTGAATGATATATCTAAATTACTTTTTTTTATTAGATTGTCGGTAAAGGCGCATTCGGTGTAGTTTGGAAGGGTCTGTGGCGAAACACATTTGTAGCTGTAAAGCATATAAATTCGGAAGCTGAAAGGCGTGAATTTGCCATAGAAGTTAGGCAACTCTCCCGTGTTTCACATCCCAACATTGTACGGCTTTATGGCGCTTGTACACAGAGGGACCACGTTTGTCTTGTAATGGAATACGCCGAAGGTGGCTCACTTTACAATGTACTACACAATCGCCCCAAACCCAAATACACAGCGGCACATGCTATGAGCTGGGCACGACAGTGTGCTGAGGTAAATTAATATTCATTAATTTTATTAAACAGTTACTTAATTTATTAATGGTAAAAATTTGCAATAACATCATAATGGATAATTGAAGAAAAACTTAACAGTAAATTAATTTTGTAAAAGAATTCATTTGTCATTTTATATACATGTTTTATTATATTTGAATAACTTACATAGGTAAATATTTACAATTTGCAGGGTGTAGCATATCTTCATGCTATGAAACCAAAACCGCTCATACACAGGGACTTAAAACCACCAAACCTACTTCTAGTGGGTGGTGGTCAGAGGCTGAAAATTTGTGACTTTGGCACAGCAGTTGACAAAGCCACATATATGTCTAATAATAAGGGTAGTGCTGCTTGGATGGCTCCAGAGGTAATTATATTGAAATCATTATTGAAATAAAATGAATTTGTTATTCAAACTGTAGTCATATGGAGTTCTAGCTGTATTCTGTGGCTTAACTTATGCAAATCCATATACAAAGTATTTTAAATGTCAAGTTAGCATTTATATGCTAACTTGACATTTAAAATACTTCTATAAATCTATCTATGTGCCAAATTTCATTCAAATCTGTTCAGTAATTTTTACATGAATGAGTAATATATATTTATTCGTCCATACTCAAGTATTCAAAAACTGTTCCCATATTTTAAAACCTTGTTTCTTCCATAAAGCTTTTGAGTTTTATAAATAGTTATGTTTTGAATTTATATATACTTTATTGCAATTATTTCTTGTGGTATTAACTCTCTTAAATAGTATCTATTTATGTAGGAAAATATGTTATTTTTAATCCTTTTTACAAATACTTTAAATTAGTTATTTAATACCCAATCTGTCATTTTGTGTCCTGTCTATTATTGAAAAGATTTTGAAGAAACATTATTTATTCCAAATAATTCCATTCAGAACAGTATACTCAAAATTTGCAATCTGGTCCAGCTTTGCATAAGTGGATAGAATTATCAAAAATAATATATAGCCTATATAACTCATTGATAATGTAGCTCTCTATAGGTAAAAGAATTTTTTAAATTGATGCATAGTTTTTGAGTTCATTTGTTATAAACAAAAAATCAAATCTTTCCTCTTTATAATATTAGTATATATAGTGATATAATTAATAAAACAAAAATTCTCTACAGTCTTATTTCTTTCATTCCAGGTATTTGAAGGGTCATCTTATACAGAAAAATGTGATGTATTTTCATGGGGTATTATTCTGTGGGAAGTACTCTCCCGAAGGAAACCTTTCGAAGAAGGAGGCTCAGCTTATAGGATAATGTGGGCTGTACATACAGGTATATGAACTGAAATTATGTTGTAAATAAACATATTATTATGCAAAAAAGCACCTACCTAATAAAATAACATTATTCAGCACACTGGCAGACAACAAACATATATTGGTGTTGAAAACTTAAATATAATAAATTTATACATTTTAATTATTGTTATATAAGTTTAAACCACTCCTAAATTGAAAATTCAAAATAAAATGTACACCATTTTTAAGTTACATGTTTAGAAATAGAAAAGTAAGAACCTTATCAAATTTTGCACAGTATATTTTACATAATGCCAAAACAAATATACAGACAAACAAAATACTATTTTTCTTAAATGTACAGATTTCTAGTTACAGTTTTATTATATTAATGAGATAAAAAACCTCCCAGTTTTTTTCAAAGTGTAGGTCACATAGAGGGTCACAACTTTTCTAAGATGTAATATTAGATAATATCTAGATTATTTTTTTATACAACAAATAATCATAATATCAAACTACATATCCATTACAAGTTTATGATCTTAATACTTACTGATTAATTAGTATGACTGTCCACTGAAGGAATATAATAAATCTTACTACTAACTTGTAAAACACTATAAACATCACAGAATATACTGTCACCTATGTGTGAATTCTCAAAAATGAGGTCTGTTATATTAGATGGAATGCGATTTCCTTGGCTTTGTTAAGTATTGTTATTATGAACTTAAATATTTACATTATCAATTTTTTTTTCTTTTCTTTCCATGTAAAAAAAATTATTTTGTGTTTTTACAATTTTAGGTCAAAGACCAAATTTAATAGAAGGCTGCCCAAGACCAATAGAACAATTAATGACACAATGTTGGCACAAAGTACCAGCAGAAAGACCGAGTATGGCCCAGGTAATTTTTTTATCATACACAATTATTAAGTTTTCTCTTTTTACTCTTTGGCTTCTTATCTGTGTTAAATTAAAATGGCCTTTATATTTTTATGCAGAAACAGAAATTATAAAATGACATATTCGGCATAATATAAATAGTAAGGCCAATACCTGATTCTGTTTTCTAATCATAAGAGAATAAACTTAATTTTATGACTTAGCATGAAAAAAGTTCAATTTACATTTACAAGGGTCACTATACTGAAGACTGATGAAGCAATGTATTTAGAAATGGATTAGGTTAGTGAGAAGATGTAGATAAATAAGTTATTCTTAGGTTGTTTCACCAGTATTGCTAGTTTGGTGGAAATATAGATAGAAACACCAGTATTAAGTATTCCTCAATGAATAGAGAGAAAACTGCCAGATCTCTCAATACTACATAAATTAATTAACTGTTCACCAGCCAGATATAGTTTCCTTTTGGACTTTTACTAATTTTATCAGCCCCTTATTGTAATACAGGTGTGATATAATAACAAACATATACATATATTTTAAAAGATTTTCAAAATATATGTATATATATGTTTGTTATCAGGGAGATCCCTGATGCTACCCTATATTTAGTTTTTTTTTTTTTTTATAAATTAATCTAAGTAACGATAGTGGGATTTCACTGACTTTATTTGAAATCGAATTTATTATGTATTCGTGAAATGGTAATTAATTGTACCTTGCTATTTTTGGGGAGAACCTACTACTATCTTACGGATACTCATATTTATCAGGTATGCAAGTACTATTTACCTGGGGACGCGTCGCGTTAACTTACAATAGTGCATTAAATTTGTCCAATAAAACACCACCATGATGCTTTGCATGAAATTCAGCTTAAATACTTTATAAAACTAGTAAATAATAATATATGTAATAAACAATAATATATATAATAATACAGTAATTGAATCTTCTTGAACATTACCTATTTTAATATTTTATATTACAATAGTTAGTGTAGTGCGCAACTGCAGTCTTGATTCTCCCAAAATCCAATCCAAGCCTCTTTAAGTTTTAAAACTGTAATGGAAATTATTTATAATTTTTTATTATTTAAAAAAATATAGATACTAGCTTCTTACTTTGAAGAGCACTTAATCTTGAAATTCTTGACTTCAATGTGCCCTATTCACACCGTTAGTATTAGTAAAATAAACTAGTAGTAATAGTGCATATTAGCAATACTTGTAGTAGCATAAAAAATGTACGTTTTTGTCTAAAGCAGTAAAAATTTTTTCATAATATTCTAATCATGAAACTATACTTATTTCAGGTTGTAGAACTAATGACGGCGCTTTGTGAGTTCTTCCCAGGCGCCGACAAGCCAATAGACTACAATGACTGTGAAGAGGAAGATATAGATGACCACTACATGATGCACACAGAGGACGAGCTTGGCACCGAGACAGATGACATTTTATTATCCCAGGTACTTCTCCCAACAGACGTAGAATACGAGAGCATCCCCAATCAAGCTGTGCTCAGAAATACAAACAACTCTGTAAAGGCACCCAGGCCGCGAAGTTTCGTCGAAACGCAAGTGACAAAAATACAAAATCTTATGGCGGCCGAGACGCAGCCCAAAACATCAGCGTTGCCCCGCGAAGAGCCAGATGCGTTAAACAGAATAGGACCAGTAAGAATCCCGCAACAATTCAAACCACCCGATGAAGCTGGCAGGTCGCCGGTATCTATAAATCGAATTTCCAGCTCTCCCGTACCTCCAGATGGCAGGCAATATTTACCTAGTGAAGGCAGCACACCGCAGGACAGCTTGCTCGCTGTTAGAAGCCCAATTAATATATTTAGTGAGAGTTCCTCCCCAAAAAGATTATCTCCTATAGTTTATTATAATGTTGGTAACATGAATCCCAGGCATATGGATATAGAACAGTACTGGAATGACAAACTATCACCTAGATGTTCATCAGTGGCGACAAGTAATTCTAATTCACTAAGAAAAGAGGACTATAATCAGAACTATTGTGATAGAGTGAGTGCAGGAAATAGTCCGTTGATGCCAATGAAAGAATACAATGGAAATATCCCACAAAGGCAGCCAATTCAAATGCCTTTACAAATAGATGTTGATCCTGTAAGTATAATTGAAATCACAACACTCCCTGATACCAGTCCAGCCACTTATGTATGTAAATATTTATGTAATCCTTATATTTGTATTTTGACCCTACATATTTTCTGTTCTTTATTCTAATTTAAATTTATTCCTTTCAAACTAGCATGGTTGCATTTATACAGCAATAAAAATTTCTATTAATATTTAATCGATTACCATTTTAATATTAGTCAAGCTAATAACTGTTTAACCATATACCATGAATTTTCAAATATCATACTATTGTTCATTATTATGTTTGATAACCTACAATTTAATTAACAAATTATTTCCTTCTACATAGTATATGTTATTATAACAACTGAATATTTTAATTAATTACCGTATTGTTTGTATTTACAGAATGCTTGGGAGTTACAAGATCCTTCTGTTTATGATGAGTACCTAGGTGTCAGAAATAGTGCTGGTTTTGACAAATTTTACACCTTGGGTAAGTACTGCATGCTATTTTTTGACAAATAATGCTATAAGGAAATTCATAGTATGATGAACCTATATAAGTCATACTATAAATTAATACATTATATAACATATTCCATTTTATTTATTGTGTTATATTATTGTTATAGTATTCATTTATAGAGCATTTTTCCAATTCCTATAGGACAAAAATAAAAAATTATTACAGCAAAACTGCTGTTTTTTTTTAGTAAATTCAAAATTATGAACGCGTTTTCGAAATACAAATTATTTACTACGATAGATAGCTATGATAACGGAGCATGTCACGGTTTTAATTTTACGCGAAAATATGACAGCATTACATGATAGACATTTACAAAATACAATTAAAATTAATATATTAATAAATAAATTTAAAATACAAATAAAAGGTCGGAAATAAGTAAAAAAAAAATGTTATTTATCAGTGGAAGACTTCATTCAAAGTCGTTAGCATTGATATATTTACCTTACCTATGAATTCTGCTACACTGCTGTTTCGGGCTAAAGAGAGAAATATAATAGTGAAATTATATATTACGGAGACAACAATTTAGTCCTTAGAAATCACAATATATGAAAGATACCATTGACCTCACAGTGATTGATGCTGTGTTATCCACGGTCCTATCTGTAGGTGATGGATGCCACAGCCTTAACGATTCTGAATCTTCCAACTTCATATTTTTTTCGAGTTTATTGGCCCTCACACTCCCCATGAGTATCTCCTGTAGAAACATCGCTGTGTGTCACCGTAATAATAAGGGAATATAAATAGATAATAGGATCGATTCTGAGAAGTCTCTTCTCTAAACTTATCTTTTAAACTAATATTTTAATTTGAGAGTTTCGCGAATTGATTATCGTATGGATCATAAAGTAAATTTATAATATTTTTTACATAAATCTATTAGAAATTAAATTCGTATTAGTACTCATAATAAAGATTTAGCAATGATATCAAATAGAAATTTTAATTTAGAAAATAGGTTTAGAGAAATGACGTCTTAGAATCAGCCCTACTGTTATTGAAGACATTTTTAAGATTTTGCGTGTGTAGCTTGAGCCTGACAAAAACTTATACAAATAAAAAATCGCTTATAGTAATTGACGTATTTATTATTATTTCCCATATATTGAGATCGACAAGAAGGAAATATCGACAAACCTACATACGTATCTGTCACGCCTGTCTCCCTTTACGGCGGGTAGAAACAATGCAAAGTCAAATGCTTCAATTCAAACAAGACTTTCACATCCTCATCATTCATCAATCTTTTTATACATGCTCACTGATTATGGGTACTTGTAATTTAGCCCTTCTACAGCACTAGCAATATGAGATCTATTTGATCGACGTATGTCCGTCTCGGGCGGCCCCTATTAACATCTCCATTCATTCTTACTTGATAAATCTCTTCGTAATTCTTCTTTCATGCATCCGCTTCAAATAGCTAAACCAACACAACATTTCATTTTCAATTTTTGTCACTACATCGTCTTTCAGTCTACATACATATCTTTTAATGTATTACCACACATACTTCTCAGATATCTCATCGCCATAACATTTATCTTACTTTCAGACTTCTTCTGCCATACCCATGTTTCGCTTCCATACACGAGTGTTACTGTCAGTACTTTCTGAAATATTACAAGGCGAACTTTGCTCCATACATTTTTGCTTGCCATAATTGAAAGCAGTGCACCGTTAACATTGTTTCTCGCTTTAACTCTCCTTTCAATATCTCCCTCACACCTTCCATTAGTGGTGGTTTTATTGTAAACAATGAACTGAAATATAGAAACTCACTCACTTGCTCCACTCTTCATATCCTATCATTATCTGGCATGCCCTTAAACTTTCAGTCATCTCAAAAATCTTCGTCGTCTTCGCAATAATTTTTATATCTTTTCTTATATACGCTTCTTTCATCACCATTTGTTGTAATTCATACTGTTACAATGCAAGCAATACTTGGTCGTCAACGTATAAGAGTCTTAAATAGTGGCTCATTCATTCGGAATCCACAATCAGATTCCTTTAAATCGGTCAAGCAACTATCCATCAATAGATTGAACAGCCAAGGAGATGCTAGACAGCCCTGTTTAACACCACGTTCAATGCCAAACCAGTCCATATAAATCCCATTTCTTCTGAAACAGCCATTCGATTTCTTATATAAGGATTTGAATGCCCGTATACCACAGTTCATTCCTCTCCAGTCTATCATAAGATTTTTCAAGATCAATGAAAGCTCAGAAAACATTTAGATATTGAGCTGTTCTCTCTGCTATGCACCTTAAGGAAAAGACTTCCATACCCTTTCAAAAAACTGCTTGCACATCCCAAATTTTACTCTCCGTTTTATTCATCGCTTTTTAATCAAAAACCTAGCATACAATTTTCCTACAACATTAAGAAGGCTTATTTCACTGAAATTATCGCACTATTGCTGTGACCTGTCTTTATATAATAGCACAATAAAAATTTTGCCCCAGCCACCTGGAACACAACCGAACCTCCAACAATTATTAAGCAGCAGGATACAGCAGGCTTACAATGATTTCTTCACCTTATTTAAGCATTTCAGCAGATATTCTATCGAATCCCGCTGATTTACCAACTTTCGTAATCTTCATTGCATTCATTACCTCATCTACCTATACATATAAATAAGATTGGAGTGTCTGCTTTTAATATTGAAATAACCGTTTTTTACTACATATGAATATATATATACGGTACATACACCAAAATAATTTTTTTTACAATTTTTGTCTGTTCTGGCTAATCTCGGGAATGGCTGAACCGATTTTGACGGGACTTTTATTGGCAGGTAGCTGATGTAATAAGGAGTAACTTAGGCTACGTTTATTTAAAAAAAAATCTTTTATTTTAGAAAAATAAAGTAATGTTGAAGTACTGTCCAGTACCGCGTGCGGAACGAAGTTCGCCGGGTCAACTAATTCATACATATATCACTTTAACTGTCGACTTCCTCGTTCATTATTTCATCTTCAACGTTCTTTGTTTCACTTTCAAATCGTGGTTAATTATTGTTGAATTCGTCGCGAAGGAATGTAAATTATACACGTGTCCATCATTAGTCATAAAATTTTATATTAAAATATATTTAGAATAAAAATGGTGGACTTCCTGTTCTATCCAGAAACGATTACCATAAATAACTACAAAGTTTTTCAACACTCTGGAACGAAAATAGTTTATGGAATCTTATACAATCTAAATAAAGCTATGATTATAGAGAAAATAAAAAATTGTTATATAAAACTAAGTAACAATTTAGCCTAATTTTGAAGCTAGAGCCAAAGGAGGAAGTTTTTAATTGGACTGTATTATTTTGTGTTACGCAATATATGCACCAATTTCTTACCGAATTTAATATTTAGTTTAAAGCTGCACACGCTACGAAAGCTTAAAAATGGAGTAACTTTTTACATTTTCTTAAAATTTCCCTTCACTGCTCTGCTCCTATTGATCGTAACATGATGAAAAGTATACTATACCTGCCTAGGAGTATCAAGAATAATTGTACCAAATTTCTTTAAAATCCGTTGAGTAGTTTTTGTTTCTATAACGAACATACAGACAGACAGACAAAAATTGTACTGATTGCATTTTTGGCATCAGTATCGATCACTAATTACCCCCTGATAGTTATTTTGGAAATATATTTCATGCACAGAATTGACCTCTCTACAGATTTATTATAAGCATAGATAGATAATTGAAATGTAATTATTACTCCTGTGTAAAATTGTACCATTTTCCTTACAATTTACCTTGATTATTTTTGTGAAACACGATCTTAAATTATAATAATAAAATTAGATTTTTTCGAACAAAAACATAAATTAATCATAGCTGTCTCAAAAAATGTCGTAAAACGTGCATGAACAATATAGCAATCGGATTAATACAATTAAATTAAATACAATTAATAGCTATAATGGAGGTTGTGGAACTTCTAGTAATAATAATGGTGGTCAATCTTCGAGTGTTAGCAGTCACACACATACTAATGGTAGCACAATAAACAAAATAATTCTAATTAAATGACCAAGATAAAAAACTACCCAGTAGGTGGGAGTAAAAGGTAATACATATGTTGGATCAACTATTTTTTTTTATTAGAATCTATTATCACAAATTATATTTAAATTTTGCATTGAACACTGTTTATACAATGTTAAGATTGAATCGCCATATGTGCAGCTGCATCCATCCAACAGTAACAAGATTGTCGTCTAAACTTGTAGCAATGCATCATTGGAGCGCATGAGTAACCGCGTCGAAATAGCCTTGTCCTGTACCAGGACGTGCTCACCCTCTGACTCACGATAGCTCTTATTTATCATTTGCACTTACAAGAAACAGACTTGTTGTGTTTGTTTGCAAACAAAGAAACAGTCATCCTTAACATTATACAGTTCTGGATTTCTGTGTATTGTAATTTATTGGAAGTAATTATTATATTTAGTTGGATATATTTAAAAGAGTTCCATATTTATTAACTGAAAACCATTCTATCTCCTAAGTTGTAGCAAACAGTACACAATTACAAAACTTCATTAAAATCGACTGAACATTTTTGGAGATTCACGTGTACGAACATCGTAACACGGAAGTTTCCCTACTCATATGACAAGGAAAATGTATACCACAAAAAGAATCATACGAATCGTTAAGGCAACTTTTCAAAACCGATCGTATGTATAAAAAATATTTTACAGTAAAGACAGTGGAACAAACGAGAAAATTTCAAATAATATATAATAGATATTACTAAATTTATTTTTGTAAGAGTTCATTTTCATTTTGGCGAAAAAGTCGTATTTTCAATTACAAAATCGTTTCGTTTCTTTCTTATTCTTTTGTCATAAAAAGATGTTAATACTCTTAAATCGTGAAAAAAAAAAGTTTTCATGTAACAATTTTTTTTTTCGTAATACCAATATTTTATC